GTATAGTTCTTATAGTATTTTTAGATATTTTTTAAATATATTATAAATATTATAGTTTTTTTAATTATAAGCCTCTTCGCCCAATTTTTTCTATAAGTATTTTTAACAGAACAGTTGGCTATTTTATTTATTTAGTAAATATTATAAATACTAGATTTATTTTTATACTGCTATTAACAACAACCTCTATCTCTATAAAATATTTTTTTCTATTATATAGAATTAGCTACTTTTTTAGTTTTAAACTAAAATAAATTGTGATTTTAATTTAGGCTAAAATAGATACTGTAACCCTATCTACTAGTTATTTTATAAATAGTCTAAATAAATAATATTTTTTTAAAAAGTAGTTTATTTTTCTGCAGTTGTAATAAGCTTTTAATCCAGTAGTTTTTATAGGTACTTATAGTATTAAAAAAGATTATCTTAGCTTTAAAATTTTTTTTATAAAAAAACTGGTTCGGGCTTCTGGCTTCCAGATTTTTTTTATAAAAACTACAGATCTATAATCTTTTTTAGCAGTTTTTTTATAAAATATTTTATCTTTTACTTACTTGTATTGCTAATTTAATATTAGATATAATCTTATAAGTAGGGCTATAAAATCTTATTTTATTATAAAAAAGATTAGCTGTTTACAAATCTTTTTTTAGACTATAAAAAAAAAGATATAAAAAATAAATACAGCTATATAGTATTAATATTCTGTACTTTATAGTTTAGCTTAGTTTTTATTTTTTTTACTACTGTAGATAGGCAAACTTAGATTTCTTTTTATATAGCTTAATTTCAAAAATTTTTAACTAGGCCTTTTACTGTCTGTTTATAGGATTTTTTAACTATATTTTAAAAAACTTATAAAGGCCAGCCCATCTTTTTTTATAATAGGATTCGGCTGCTTTATTTTTTTATAAATTATTTAAAATATAGTCTAAGTAGGCTACTGTAATATATACTTTCTGGCTTTTATTTTAGTTATTAGCCTTTACAGTTAATTTTTAATAAATTATAAATATACAGTAGGTAGTATAGTTGCAGATACTGTATTATTTTTTATTTATAAATAAATTAATATATATACTAGTTTTTTTACTTCTGCAGTACTGGAGTTAGAGTTTTTTAAATCTACTTATAAATACTTTCTTACAGAGCCGATTCTAAAGAAGTCTTAGAATTTTATAGTCTGTTTTAGTAAATATAGATATTTATAAAGTTTTTAAATAGGGATCTTAACTTTTTTTTTTTTATATAGAAGTCTTTTTCTGCAACTGACGCGTAGCCCTTTATAATTAGATCTAAAAAGTTACCTTTAGTTTAGTTTTATATTTTATATCCTATTATTACCTACTAAACTATTTTACTGGGTATAAGTAATAAGATTATAAAAACTAAAAAATAAAATAGTATAGTAAACAAATAGCTTATTATAATAGCTAAAGATAATAGTATTATATTTTAAAATATTGTTACTAATCTGTCTAATTTTATAGAACTACTGCTGTTTTAAGTGGCTCTGCAGCCGCCTTACTTAGCTGTTATATAGCTGGTGCCTTAGGTCTTCTTTTATATACATCCCTTTGTGATTGATATCGCGAAGGTTGGAAGGGCTTGCGGGCCCTTACACTATAATATTATTAAAAAGTTGGTAGACTAAAGTAGGCGTATAAACTAAATTTAGTATAATAATAGTTGGTTTTTTTTATTAAATTAAGCACAGCTCCCCTTAGCTACTTTAAAGAATTAAAAAAGACTTTTTTCTTTTTTTTATTTCTTTTTTTTATTTCTTTTTTTTGTTTCTTTTTTTTTTGCTCTTATCTTAGGTTTGTATAAACCAGAGCTAAAGGGGAAAAGTATAAGTATTAGTTCTTCTCTAATCTTAGCCCTTATTTATACAGCAGTTAGTTAGGGTTTGGCTGGGGCTGTAGCCGCCATTTTATAACAGCTTTTATATTATTAAATATTAAAACTAGCTTCTAAATAGGTTCTATATAGCCTTTTTATTTAATAAAATACTATAATTAACTTTTCCGGCCTTTTATTATACATTGCTTATTAAAAATCTTTTTAATTTTATACTTTTTTTTACTATTAACTATTATAGGTAGTAGTTATAAATTTTTTTAAACTTATAACAGTAATATATTATTAGCTGTTAAATAAAGTAGATTAATATAAAATATAGGATAGATACTTTTTAATATATTAAATTATATAGTATATAATTCTATTTTTTTTAATACAGTATATTTTATATTTTTTTAATCTAACTTTTTATTAGAATAATTTATACAGATATTTTATAGGCTTAATTATATCTAATCATCCTTTTAGTATAATAAAACAGTTTATTAGAATTTATTAGTCTATTTTTTTATATTCTATTATATATAGGCTATAGTACTTTGGGCCCAGTTTAAAATATTATATATTTTTTATATAATTATATTTTTTTATTAAATAAGGCTGGAGGCAGCAACCTCTAGATCTATATTTTAAACTATTTTTTAATTATTTAGATTTAATTTATAACTATAGCTTAGAAAAAATAGTTAGAATTCTATAGCTGTATCTATATAGCTGTTAATTACTAGCTCTGCCAGAGGCAGCAGATTAATCTAATTTTTTTAATTATAATTTATATAAGCTTTTAAATACACCTTAATAGTATTATTTATATATTTAGTTATTTTATTTATTTAAGAATAATAGGCTGTAGACAATTTTTTAATTATTCTAAATAGATTATATATTTTTTTTATATATAACTTATAAACTAGGTGTTCTAATCTAAGACTATAGTTTTTAAAATACTATATTTTTTAAAAACTATTTTAACTAAGGCTTTAGCTGTAGCTTTAGTAGTAATCTTTTTTATTATATAAAATATTACTTTTTTATTAGTCTGTTTGTAATTATAAAAATATTTATATATAACTTACTTTTAGATAAATTAGTAATAAAATCTATTATTAGCTTTTATTAAAATTAATCCAGTATTAGCAGCAGCTTTAGTAATCTGTATTTTAATTTTTTTATAGCTTTATATAACTGCAGATATTACAGTTTTAAATATACTTTTTTATATTTTAGGATATATTAGATTAGAAGTATATTTTACTAAAAAAGAAATAAATCTGCTCCCAGCTAAAATATTCTATAATAAAAAAATTATAATTACTTTAAATAAGATTTATATAAAGTAGTTTATAGTTAGAAATTTACTATTTTTTTTAAAAGTATACCCAAACTCCTTCTGTTAAATATTTATTTAAAAAGATCTTTAATTTCAGCTGGGGCGGAAGTTTATATATTTTTTTTATATAAGCTTTATTAGATTTTAATAATTTATATCTGCTGCTAAAGCGCTGGTCTAGCTGTTTTTAAATTTATTTTTTAGCTTTAATAGTTTTATAATAGTTTACTGTAGCTGTTTTAGAAGATTTTTATCTAATTCTGTTTTATATTTTTATAACTATACTAAGACTACAGTAAGTAAACTAGTTTTATATTTTAAATCCCCTTTTAGTATCCTGCTAAAAATCTGGATTATATAAAATAATATTATAAGGTCTTATTTATTAGATATATTCTATTTTTATTATAAAAAAATATCTGCTTATTTTTTTTATTCCTTTTTAGTAGACTAGTTTAAAGTTAAATCTGCTTAATATTAAGCTTTATTATATATATCTTTTTATAAGTGTATATAGCTTAAAAAAGTATTCTAAGCTTTCAGATACTATATAACTGCTAGTAGTTTTTTATTATAAATCTTATAATTGTACTTAGCTGGGGTATTCTATTTAAAAAAGTAGGTATAAAAATATAGCTTTTTATTTTTATTTATCTAAAAAAGTATTTTTTTATATTATAGCCTAAGAAGTCTGTCTCTACTACTATTATATATTTAAAATTAAAAAAACAGAGAATTAGCTTAGTTATAAATTTTTTTTAATATCTAAAAGCTAGCCTCGCACTTTTAGATCTACTTAAAAAACTAATTTTTTTATTAGATTTATAAGTAGTTGTACAGTAGTTAAAAATCTAAAAATAAATTTACAGTAAAAATTTACAAATTCTAAAAAGCTTTAAACAGCTTTTGCTAATTTAAAACTTTTCTATAAAATAATTATTTTAATCTTTTTAAAATATATTTTAATACCTTGCCCTGCGTGTATAATAAATATAAAATAAAGGATTTTCTTTTTTTTAAACTTATATTTTTTAAAATTTAAAAACAGGCCGGCTTTTTTTAGTTTTTATAATACTTTTTATATATATTTACAGTGCTTTTTAACATCCCTATTTATATAAATTAATATATTATTAATATAGGCTGAACAGAATTTATTAAAATATTTATATAATATTCCAGTTAATATACTTTTAAAAAGTACTTAGAATATTTGCTAGTCTAAAGAATATTACTAGCTATTTATATAGCCTATACTGTATATAAAAGGCTGTTATTTATTCTTAACCCTTTATAATACAGATTTTATGAAAGGCGGATAAAATATCTAGTTTAGTAAACTATTTTGCTTTTTTAATTTAGTTTAAGGTCTTATAAATTAGAGAAAGCAGATAGCAGTTTTTTTTTATAATTATATTAAATACTTAGTAATTTATACAGAATCTTAAATTTTTTTTAGCTTTTATATAAAAAGTATTAGAGCTGCTACTAAAAAGTAGCTAATTTATATAAAATTCTTCTCCAGTAGTTTGGTCAGTTCAGACTATAGAACTATTAGTTTTTTTTAAAATATATTATAAAAAAAGCCCTATAGAACTTCTGGCTTTTTTCTATTCTGGTATATAAGCTTAATTTTATAGTTAATATTTTTTCCCCAGTATAGCAGTAGTTTTTCTGTATTCTCTGATTAAAAGAAAGGCAGAAAGTCCTAATAGTATTTAGAAAATATTATATATTAGAGTGGCTAACGGCCAGGTTAGGTCTAAAGTGGCTAACAGCCAGGTCAGGTTAGGTTAATTGGAATTTTTATACCTCGGTTCAAATTCGGGGCATGGATCATGGCTCAATTTATCCTACTTGCGAAACCTCATGCTAGATCCCGGGCACCGTGGGGTGGAGGGATATATCGCCTAGTCTTGAACCATGTAACCTGTTTGCGTACGAAAAACCCTTCAGGTTGGGTGGAAAGAAGTTTTCAGACAAAAAGGTCGATGTATAAAATCTTCGCTCGGAGAGCTCCTATTGTCACTATTTCTTGGCAAGGTAGTCTCGCAGAAAGACTTCAAGATCCTCCTGTTGCAGATCCAATCTCTCATTCCACAATCCCTTGGTCACTGAAAAGTGATTGAGATTTCCCTGCCCGTATACAGTTCCAGCAATCATAGCCAAAACACCCAACGGCTGACCTTCTTTCCATTTTGAAGCACCAGACGTCCACAGATCATCGACGGAATCTTTCATGACAGTGAATTTCTCATTGGTGATTTTCTCGACGGTTTTCAGAACTTGGTTTTGCGTGATGGTGAAGCTATTGACGTAAATGTAGTTGTTCATGGTGAGATCGGGCTTCTTCAAGCACTTGGCGATGGCCCTACCGACCTGATCAAGGCTAGTCGCCTCAAAAGGAATGTCCCCGTCGTCAAAGATAGTAACCTTGCGCGCAGGTAGATCCCAACCTCCAAAGCCGGGGATATTCAATCCCCAGTCGAACATCCCGCCCGAGATCACCGCCGTCCATGACATTCTCTCTTGATGCTGTTTAAGATAATCGACAGCGTGACGTTTGTCCACTAAGAACGGAATAAAGTCTGGCGAGGGAATCTCCCCAGTGTCGACTCCGTACTCAGACGGGATGAAAATCTTGACGCCAGCCGCGAGAGCAGCATCGATGAACGATTTTTGCTGGGCCAATGCATCGCCGGGGATGATGCTGGAGACTGCACTAACAACCGCATCTTGGCCTCTGAAAGCCTCTTGCAAGGAGGGCTGTGAGAAATCGGACTTGATGTGCCGGACGTTTGCGGGCAAGATTGAGTCCGACGACTCCCGCGTAAGCCCGGTCACCTCAAAACCCTCCGCCTGCAAGGCCTTGATAGATGATCTACCCACATTCCCGCTGGCTCCGATGACAATCACGTTTCGGATATTTGTGACCATTTCAGCGGCAGAGTTGTGGTAGTAAATTGGATATGATAATGAATGGAAAAAGAAAGGTGTCGAGACTGGAGAGATAAGTGTAGGGCTTGGACCTGCCTTCCTCGCCTTAAGGCCTTGTAAGAGTTCCTTATTGTCTACTTCGATTTTATTTAACATGAATTACAAATCATCTATGACGATAATGATGTCGATCTTCCATTAAATCGATTGGTAATACATCTTAATTCAAGAATGGAGTTGCACGGCGAACTGCAACCGGGGAGATGTTCATTATGATTACTGATCTCCGTTGAAGAGTGCGGTAAATCTAGACCCAGAAAGATGCAACCTTTCTAAAAGTGATCACGAGGGTGTGGATCTATGACTTCCTATGTATCATTCACCACGAAATAATACGGTACTTTCGACATACAGTAATCAACCCGAAGGTAAATCTCACTTACTGGGTGGAAAGGTCGATCGCGCTACCCCGAAGCTGAGAACGGCATTTGGTACGGATTTACCGCCTAGTAAGTGGGTCAAGTCAACAGGGTGCTCAGTAATCATGGGTGATTATCCCTCGGCAAGTCGGCAATATGCAAGAATTCTCCGCTCTTGGGTGTTTGACAGCCTTGAACCCACTGCCGAGGAACCCATGTTTAACACGTGTGAACAATCTACGTAGTTGAGCAGCTTCCAAGTAATTTCACGACGGGCTACCGAAGCGATATCTACCCCCGAGTCTTTTTCTATCCTTCTCTTTGTAAAGATAAAACGCTATACTTATTTTTCTTCTTCAAGTTACCCTCGAGGAATATCAAATGGCGAGCACATTAGCAGACCATGTCGCACTGTACAAAGAGGGCCCGAATTATATCTCCTCTCAGAAACCTCAGCGTATGGGAAACTCGGCGCCTATCGCGTACGGAGGCTATGCAATCGCCCTCGGAATTCATGCTGCATGCAAGTCTGCTCCGGATGGATTCCACCTTTACTCAGCCATGGGACACTATCTCCGAGCAGTCAGCACAGAGACCGCCCTCATCTGCACCCCTTCTGAACTCCGCAGAAGCAAGAACTTTGTGACTTATCGGGTGCTTGTCAATCAAAAAGTCCCAACCCCGGAGCCACAACTACGGTTGTGCATGGAGCTTCTGGTCGATTTGCATAGAGATGAACCATCTCTGCTACAATACTCGACTCAACCCACGCAGCAGTATAGCCACTGGACGAACTGTAGCCCCTGGGAATCTTTGATAGAGAAAGACTGGATTCAAACGGGCAAAGTCACGGCGCGAGAACTCCGCGCATTCCACACCCTTTTCGGACTTCCCCGGAATCTCTATGAAACTCGTCCCTGCCCGGAGGGTATCACTGCCCAGAATCTCATGGGTTTGATCAAAGCTGCTGCCACGAGCCAAGACGACCTACTCCCGACGGCGAAGACCTCGGCGGAGTGGTTCCGAGTGAAACACTCTTTAACTTCAGAAGGCGAGGAGATGGCTGCCTTAGGGTTCATTATGGACGGATTACTGTCCTTCTTGCCTTTAGCCCATAATCACTTGTTCTTTCAGGATGCGGATGCGTGCTCCAGCCTGGACTTTGCTCTTCGGGTCTTCTCGCCCAGTCCCAAGATGAACGAGTGGCATCTGAGGGAGGCTATCGGTCATCACGCCGGCCACGGCCGTACGTACAGTGAGAGTAAATTATGGGACGAGCAGGGGAATCTAACAGCCTGCATGAGTCAGCAGTCAATACTGCGGGTTCCTGGCAAAGCGAGAATGTGATGATTGACGCTACTTAAGTCCAGGTTAACAACAAAATGCCACTAATTAAACCATCGAATAGCCGTATAGGGATAAAGGCCTTGAGACGCATTTATAGGCGAAATGCCGTATGCAATAGACACCCGAAAGAGACCCGAAATCAAACTCCACGAACTTTGAGATGGTCTAATTCTCAGGTCGATTTTAAGCAGGTAGAGAGGACAGCGTTGTATTAGAACGTGCAATCTTCATTTATGGATATTAAATATATGAGAACCGTGCTGAAGTAGTGGAAGCTATTCCCGACTGTAACTGTCGATCAAATCGTCGAAATCTGCAGGGCCACTATACCTTGAATAAACGCCTTGCCATTTTTGCCCCTGGTCTTGTAGTCTCAATTGCTCAATTTTCAACATAGTCAATAAGCAAATAGCTGGTGTCTGATTAAGCTTACTGGTTCTACATATCGGCCTCTTGTCCATGTTTCCCTTACATCAAAAGGGCAAGGGTGATACGAGGCGGCCGTGAATGGATGGCAACAGCTTGTAAAAATAATCTGAGTAAGATATAGGAATAGCATTCGTCTTGATAATGGAACCATTGATGTGTGCGGAGGGGTTAGGCAACATCCAAGAAATCCCCGAGCTTTACTTGCAAAACCCTGCATCCCACAATATTTGTCAGATTGAACACGTGTGTTGCATAAGAAAAGCATTCAAGCCCGTTTAGTGAAGACGGGTCTTCGGCTTGCCGCTTTCTCCTCTGGCTCATTGAAAATATTGATATCCCAGCGGGGCTTGTCTGTATCTGGTTTAGGTTCTCTGAATGATGTTGCATGCTGGGTGGAAACCTACAGTAGGAGTATGGAATATTGTAGCGCTTTCGGTCTTTCCCAAGGGATTCAACATTCGAAATCTCTTCATCCGTCAAGGTGACGGACTTGAAGTTTTCGCGAATACGTGAAGGGGTCACGGATTTCGGAATCACGCTGTGGCCACCAACCTGAGCCCATGCGATGCTGAGAGACATTTCGATCAGCACATTGCCTGTAACAAAAGTAGAACTGGGCACAGGGTTTTGATGTAAGGGATGATTCGGCCATACACAACGTTAGCGCCGCTGACTGGTTCCCCGAGCCGTTCAGACGCGGAAGCTGCGACTTCCTGAATGACAGGGTGAGTTATCACCAGAGGAAGCCCGAGGTTGTTATTTCCAAGTGGCTTTAAAGTTATGGGTCAGAATATGCACATGCCGCTATTTTGGGAAGGCTGACCGAGTATGCCGTGATGTGGATGCCTTTCTCATGGCAGTACCTCACCAAATCATTGTCTAGCAGGAAGGGGTGGCGTTCAACTTGGTTGACAGCAGGGATGACGCCGGTGCCCTTGATAATAGCGTCGAGCTAAAGAGCCAATTTGAGCTTTGGGAGCGGCATGGCGCAGGGGGAGAGAAGAGGGAGAATACTGACCTGCTCAACGTTGTGGTTAGCAACTCCAATATTCCTTACCTTGTCCTTAGGGAGTTGAGTCATGGCTAATGGAAGTGAGTATTTATGTTTTGACCGGGCAGAAAAACTGACCCTTCCACGTGTCAATAATAGAGACAGTCTCGTCAATGAGTGCATCGCCGCGTTCATGGCTGCTCGACGCATCGAGAGGAATAAATTCATCGCCTTTCGCGAATGCCACGGGCCAATGAATAAGATAGAGCTGGCTCATTAGCGGATCATCGTGTAGCGGTCCCAAGGAATGACACACATCAATGTAGTCGATGCCTATTTCCTTCAGACACGCATCAAGAGCGGGTTCAACCTCTTCAGGATGATGTTGGCTGTTTCGAAAAGTAAGCAACTCGGACCACCACAGCGAGAGGGGAGGCTGAGGTACTTGTTCCAAAGCTTGGAAGTCTGTTGATAGGCTTAATCAGTAACTAGAGTAAAGTGATCTGAGGAGGCGACTGCGGCATACGATAAAAATATCCTCACGCTTCAGACCAGGAACCTCCTTGTACGCCCGCTGAATACCTTTCGCGATCTCGCTCTGATTTCGGTAACTAGCAGCGCGTGGTTCATAAAATTAGTACAGTAATGACACTATCCAAAAAAAAAAAAAAAAGAAAAGAAAAGAATGTACATTGTAGCCAAATCCTAACGCGCCGAGAAGTGATGAGCAAATCTTTCCAAATCGGATGAATTTGAGTCTCGGTATTACCAAGTGACGATAACCTATCTTCAAGGCCTCATAGACTGCCTCGCCCACTTGCCCGGGGGCTGATTGCCAGGTACCAAATCCCAACTGGCTGTTGGCATGTCAGCGTACGATTTCGTATTGATACTGGAGGCAAGGGCGTCACAGACGGGATTGAATAGCCTGATCTTAAAGTGAATTCACCAAGATGAGCCATTGCACGAATTGACTTGGAGTGATAGAAACAATTGGTTTAGGTAAGGTGGGATAGTATCAATGAGAGCTAAACTGATTACAAGGGGAAACTGTATGGCATTATATAAAAAGGAGGTTTGCTCGGTTTGCAGTATTATTGATACGGTAGTGACATCACTACGGTAATAGTCCTCCTGTACGAAAAAACCCTCTTCGAGGAATTAAATCCATTAACTATTATGATGTTGGAAATGAATATGACTTACGGTACAGAAGTCGCCCGCATTTTTGGTTTAGCTTTCGTGTCCCAGGTAAACTAAGCTTCGGTATGGCATCAAGACCGGGTGCGGCGGAACCGGCGACGCTCGGTGATCAGTAATCCACATAATCAATGCAATAAGTGTGATGTTCTAAAGTGAGTAATGACTTCAAACATGTGACGTACTTCGTCTGTAGTCGATCAATAATCAAATTGGGTTTGCGGTTGTCTCGGGATTAATAAATGTCTCAAGCTTTCCAGAAACCAATATTGGGGATCCATGAGTTATTTTCATCACACCTTCAAAATCTTTGTCTTCTCTGACAGATCGTCTCACGATGAGTTGCCAACTCCAAGTCGACGTATACACTGCTCCGCCCATTCTGATAGAGAATGGGCATTCTGATCCTGACAAGCGATGGTTTTCACCGATCTGCAGTACCCTCGTTCAAGGTCCAAGGTCTGCAATCCTCATTGACACGCCTATCTCTGTCAAGCTCTCTGAGGACTTGGTCAAATGGATCCAAGCCACTGCCCCGGGAAAAGAACTCCGCTATATCTACACGACCCATGCCCATGCAGACCATTTTCTAGGCAACCCCGTTGTTTTGCGCTCTTTTCCAGAAGCGAAATGTGTCGCCACTTCCACTGTGTCAAATGCCATTAAGAAAGACTGGCCCGAAAGCCTTGGAATGTGGGAAAAGATGTTTCCTGGTGGTCAGATTGCGGGCAATCAATCGGTGCCGGAGCCTCTATCTAGCAGCGGGGAATTTACTGTTGATGGACACAAGTGCTATGGGATTGACGTGCCACACTCCGATACGGAGGCTTCCTCATTTCTCCATGTCCCAGATCTTCGACTTGTCGTCTGTGGGGACATTGTTTACGGCGATTGCTATCAATTTTTTGGTGAAGCCAAAACGAAGCAACAGCGTGCACAGTGGCTGAAAGCACTGGAGCAGATTGATACCCTCGGCCCTCATATTGTGGTTCCAGGTCACAAGAGAGCTACGCAGGCCAATGGACCTTACTTAATCTCAGCCACAAGAGATTATATTTTGGCATTTGAGGAGGAGCTGGCAAAAAGCAGCAACAGTGACCAACTTGAGCAAGCGATGATTTCGCGCTTCCCACAGCGTTGGAATAGATTTCTGCTAGAATGGAGCTGTCAAAGCTCGATCGAAGAAAAAGGCAAAAATTAACTTTTAACCCTCGCCAAATCAACTTGATTAGCCGAGGTGAGGAATTCTGCTACTATGAAATCTCACGCAAGGAGTTGATCTGCAAACGCAAATTGGCCACAAAATTATGAGAAAACCCGTCTTCGTTTGCGAGTAGAAAAATCGTTCAAAGCGAGACCAATAGAGAAAGGTGGTCGAGAATGGAAATCCCTAAACACAACATCGTAACTCATAGAAATGGAAGGTAGAGTTACGGCGGACGATTGCGGCCATCGGGCAAATACCCCTTTTTTAACGATTTTCACAGCTGAGTCCATTCACCGCCTGCATAATTCTATGTATTGGTATTACATATACATGTAATTATGATATATTATAAACTAAAGTTCTGCCGGTTTTATATACTTACCACCTATTAGATTCTGTTTATAGCCTTAAAAACTATAATCTGTAATAGTTGTATTTTATATTAAGATTATTATATTGTTAGATTCTGATTTATAATTTCTATTCTAGAGATATACTTAATCTAGAAGTCCTTAAGAGACAGCTATAAATTAGGAATCATGAGTTATTATAATCTAATTTTATAGAGACTAATCATAGATCTTAGATTCTTAATACAAGCGGTAACAGGACTCGGTTATAAAAGGTGTATTTGCCCGATGGCCGCAATCATCCGCCGTTGTAAAGTGGACGAATTAGTAAACATCGAAGGGAGTAACTAATTAACGTGGCGTTCCAATGCAAACGGGTACTTAGTAAGTAGAAGCTTGCTTAATGCAGCAGCCATTCCAATGGGTTGGGTGACTGGGATGACACAGCACGACTGGGGCTGCGGGAGACACGCGATGATGATGATGATGATGATGATGCAATCTCATTCCAGCGAAAAAAATCCCGATCACGGGTCAAGCTTCACGAACCGATTGTTACACACGCCACGGCTCTCGATGATCAGTAATTCAAAATCTCCATTATGACAAATCCTGAACCCCGTGCCAGCTGTAGAATTTATATAAAGTCAACCTGAATCATGTCACTCTCAGCCATCAAATACTAAAAATTGATCTTTCCCTCCATATTCACCATGAGTCTACAAGTGGACGTTTATGTCGCCCCTCCTATCCGGGCCGAAACTGGCTCTGAAGATCCTTCCAAGCAATGGTGGTCGCCCATCTCCTGTACATTGATTCAAGGACCTACATCCGCGGTGCTGGTTGATACGCCAATCTCGGTTCAGCAGTCAGAAGATTTGGCCGCCTGGATCAAGACCACAGCCCCCGGAAAGAATCTCCGATATATTTTCACCACTCACGCTCACTGTGATCACTTTTTTGGCAATCCGGTGATTCGAAAGCATTTCCCAAGTGTTGTGTGTGTTGCTACTTCCCGCGTTGTTCAGGGAATTGAACGAACATTAGCCACTTCGATTCCCCGGTGGACGGGATGGTTTCCGGGCGGCCAGTTCCAGGCTGAAGAACAGATTATCCCAGAGGCATTGCCAGAGAGTGGAGAGTTCTCGATTGACGGCCATAGTCTCTTTGGTGTGCCCGTTAAACATTCTGATACAGAGGCTTCATCCTTCCTGCATGTGCCAGTCCTTCGACTCGTCGTCGCCGGGGACATCGTGTATGGTGACTGCTTTCAGTTCCTAGCAGAGGCCCGTACAGCTGAGAAGCGCCAGGACTGGCTGCAAGCACTCGACCAAATCGATGCCTTGAAACCAAGTATCGTGGTTCCAGGGCACAAGAGGGCTTCGCAAGCAGACGGTCCTTATTTGATTGAGGCCACTAGGCAGTATATTCTGGCGTTTGAAGAAAAAGTGAACCAGCTGCGCGATGCCGATAGGGTTGAGGAGGCGATGAAGAAGCGTTACCCACAGCGGTGGAATAGATATCTTTTGCAAGTCAGTTGCGCAAGTTCTGTGAGCGCGCTCTGATTTGCTCTCTTGTTTTCATAGTTGGAGTGGGGGGCAATGAGTTACTACCATGAGCCCTAATTCATGGAAATTCCACCTATCGAATTGGTACAATTGTCTGCCATATGGTCATAAACTGTAGCTCATTTGACTCGGGAAAGCTCGTGTCCTTGGCAGGTCAGGTGACTGTTGGAGGCAATTTTGATTACTGAACATTGCCCGAGGCTCAGAAATATGGGTCGGTTTTCCTTTTTCGCCACCGCAAATTATTGGTTTCGAGCTGGAACGATCTAGCACTGTAGCTTAGTTGTCCTACACACCCCACAGTTTCCACTTATATGTTTGTAATTGTCTTCTCAAATTCGATTATAGATCAAGCCAGTTTTCGTCGACCTGTCTCGGATTGAGACTTTCTGAGTCTTACCAAACAGCCCTACCCACCTACAGTAATTGAATCACGACCCACAGCGCCCCATCTGCTGTTGTCAGCCTGGATCCATTACTTTCCCCCTCTCCCTCCAGTGCCTACACCTTACCAACGGACATTGGCGGGTCTTTGCCGTTGAAGAGAGGGATGACGCACTGCCGCTAAACCATCGGATTGATGCCAGCATGCAGTCTACTCAAAGATCCTTAGATTCCCCCATCTCCGCAATGATCTCAAACTGCAAGTCCTCACAAGTTAGCAAACCATCGAACACGGCAGAGAAGCCCAAGCTCAAAAAAAGGGGTCGACCGCGCAAGGACAATGACAGTCTTGCAGAAATCCCGGCAGAGGTACGTCCCCTAATAGCAGTCTTCTGTAGAAGAACCTTTGGCTCATGTTTATTAAACCAATGTAAGGAGCGGCGTCGCAATCAAATTCGGTTAGCACAGCGTGCTTTCCGTGAACGCGAGAAGGCCGCGTTGTCGCAAAGCGACGCTCGAATTAGCCAGCTGCAGACATCACTCATGACAATGCACAGTATGATAACCTCTTTCGGGCAGGATTTGTCTAAGAGCGGGGCACTCGCGCTGCATAGCGATCTTCATCTGAAATTATGCAGCCTCCTGGCAACTTGTGATGCACTGGCTGAAGGCTACGAGAAACTCTCGGCTGGAAATCTCCTTTACCCTGCCGTGCATGACCAGGAATTAAGAGACCCTGTAGACCCATGGGTCAAGCCATGTCCAGGTGATTTTCGTGCTCAATCGATTCGAATATTGCATAGCCACTCATCGTCATCACCATCAACAACCGTCTTAGCCTCCCTTCCCGAGCTCTCCCTTCCTGCTCACATTTTCACCCCACTGAAGTCTATCTCACGAATACAATTATCGCAGTTTGTTCATCAAGTTCGGCTGGGATGTGCACATTACGCCCTCTCGTCCTTGCAAAATCCCGCCATTACGACAGATCAACTCCGCAACAAGTTCCGCTTCCTACTCAGTCTTATGAGCCGTGAAGATTTGACATCATATTTCGAAGCCTGCGTGCACTATCATGAACACCCCGAGCGTATGCTTAAGTTCGAACGGCTTCCCTTCTTTCGCCTTGGTGGCGCCGGCACTCACTTTCCCGCCGTACCCTTTCCAAACGACAACCACTGTGCCCCCGTCCACAACGATCCCTTGCAAGAACTTCCCCCAGATATCCAACGCCACCTGCATGGGAAGTGGTTTGACAGTAGCGATCTAGAGGGTCTTTTGCGAGAACGGAAAATCCATCTGTCAGCATACCCGCCTTCGAAAGGCGCACAACTTCCATCGACTGTCAACGTGGTCAACGCATCGATTTTGATCAAGTGTAATTGCTTTTTCGATTTCTACCATTTTCTTTCTTATGCTAATTTTCTGGAATTTCCTAGATCTTGTTCGTACGAGTATCTGCCTTGGTCGTTCGCCTGGTTGGCGACCGAGTGATGTAGAGAGGGCCTTGCAGATGTCCTCTTGGAAAGAGATGATTGGACGATCTATGTCAAACCTGACCACTACAGGCATGTAGTCTGTCAGGGATCATTTAACTCGAGAGTTTCTTACTGGACGACTCTGGCAATAATCAAGGTGGCCTCAATGGGGATGGTCTTCAATCGTCGTCATTCGACTTACGCCCATGCCAACTAGCGAAGTGTACAACAACAAGTACGTTTTTCTTTGCTTATGCACAGTATTGTTACTACTACTTCGGACAAATATCTCTAAAAGTTGCAATAAAATTCCACTGTGTTTCTAATATCGATAAAATATTATCACGAGATATTCTTTCATGATTTATCTTCTGGTTGTTGGATTTTATAGTATATTTTATATATTGTATCTGCCTATTAGAACATTTCTCACGTTATCTTTAGGCTGCTGCTTGATATCTAGGTAGATATATCTGTAGATCTCTGGCAAATATACACAAGGTCGCAGAAAATATCGTCCAAATATGATCAATAAGGCAGCGGTAGTTGAAAGGTTAAAGCTATGCTGCTTGTTGTTGAGAATTTATATCACTTAGTTTGATTAAATTAACAATTAACAAAGAGATTCGAAATACAAACTAACATTAGTAAGTAACGCTACTATTTTTTAGTATGCATGCCAGATACACGAATCTCACCAAGCCAACTGCCAGTAGTCCGGGACAAATTCCTCGCGCCCTTCCAGCAGCTCCTGGAACATGGCGCTCTCGCCGATCTGCCCCAGTAATGAGACAATATAGGCCGCCACTAATCTCCTCAGAATGTCGCCAGGTAACGTGTCATAATACACATATCAAAACAGCTTCACCACAACCCCCACATTGTCCTCAAACAGATAAACCGCGTCAGTTTGTTTGTAAGCCTGTGCAGTACTAGACCAACAAGCGGCAGGATGTTGTAGTAATCCGCCAAGATGTATAGCTTTGCGTGCCAGAGAAAGACGGGTTATAAGTCATCTTCAGCGTGAGCGGTTGGTACAGAAGCAAATGTGAGACCTTAACTTGTAGAGGCGAGGCCATGCGATGTTTTTTAGTACACTGGAAGGTACTTAGTTCAGTTTTTAGTTTGCTAGGTCTAAGACAGAACTGCTATCGTTATGGTTATCATATGATTATGACTATCCAAGTGCGCAGCCGGCGCGGCAATCCAAATTCAAAGGCAAAATAGACGTGCTCTTATACGTACTAAGTCGTAAGCCAATGTGCGCGTAGATCATAGTTACCTGCGAAAGGGGTTTCCGAAATAATTTGCCGACCCAGACAGCCGGACTGCTCTCCGCTTGGGAGTTTTTCGTCGCACGACAAGTCATAATCCTGTCGAGCGGCCCGGACTTATCGCTGCGCAGAATAGCCCATTGCTTACAAACTCTAAACCGGCGAAGAGGGGAAGTTGCATTCCGCCCCTATGAGCAGGTCAAGTCCAATAAGCATAACTATTCAAGGACATCTCTCCCAGAAGGTCATCCGTCCCCCACAACGAAGTGCGAGAATGAGATTAAAAGGCGATGAATAGTTCATCTTATCCTATTGAAGTGATACCACAAGATCCGAGAGAAGAAACGAACATAGAAGGGTAGTTTGAGCTTCGCTTAACAGGTACTTTTCGGCGATGACATCTGCGCGAATGCTGTTTCTTTGCCCCACCATAATCGTTGGTGATCCAGGAATTATTCAAGTAGCAGTGTCAATGCACATTTCAAGATAATATGTAATAGTACGCAACGAAACAGGTATAATACCCGCCCGGTCAGAGATTTGGTGTTGAGTCATGCCGCAAAGATGGCTTAGGAAGCTCTCATGTGACTGTCCGCAGCCGAAACAGCTTCTTGCTCTTTCCTGTGCCTACAGATAGCAGATGGTTCGAATGTGTTGGAAACCCATCCTTTTTGATGATTTCCGTTGGTATAATTTCAAACCATATTAAGTTTCTCCACGAACGCGGTACAAGCCGCACTTCTGGACTTGCGCAACATGCTTCGTGACATGTTATGAGTATGGGGTAAACGTTTCGAATTGTTGGATAACATGGCGGTAATCAGCCCAATAGCTCAACCTCGCGAACGGTATGGATTGTAAAGTGGCACGTGGTGACTGGCAAAGGCTAGACAAAGATTACAGATCGCTATCCAGAACTACTTGTTTATCGGCGCACGACATCTCCTGGATCGGTCAGCCAGGTCCGTGCCGCTAATTCTGTGCTAGCGCGCCCGGGATTCTTGGACCCGATCATAAAGCAAGTTCCAAGCAGCACCTGTCACATTGATAGGCATGTTACTGCACAATAACAGAGAAGAAAAGAAGGGCTAAATTAGAAAGGTGGATCTGAACCCTGTCAGAGTGGGTCACCACCCTGCCTGGAATGCTTGTCTGTCTCCGCGACCTCATGTTCATCTAATCTCTCCTCATATGCCTTTCTCCACATGATTGAATTTACTGCTTTATTCTTTATTCTTCCTTATTTATGTTCACATTGTCAAGATGAACCTTCAAGTCTTAAGGTACTACATCCCTCCGCTGTATGGAGGTTGAATATATAAATTACTGGCTCTGCTTCACCGCCACGGCGAAGATCAGTATTGGGCTAAGCAGATACAACAACCGACCGCACTGACTTTTCGGTAAGGTCTAGCCCCGCCATGTACGGAAGACTATTTGGAGGGACTAAGTTTCAGGAGAATTAGGCTGAGGCCATACAAATTAATGATATTAATTGATATATATAGCTAACAAAGGAAGTTGACTATATTATGTAGTGTCTTCTGCTGTGTTAGATAGCCCGGCGACCTTAGGCTATTGTTATGGGACCAAGGCCCTGATATAGAGCTCGGCTTCAGGCACCAGTTGGCACCTGAGGCCTCGCATGCTATGTACCAAACTAGCGCTAGCTTAGCACACATATAAAAGAATTTTATACAAACAGATAAAATAGCTCCCCAGCTATTTTTTTTGTTTAAAGATACGTTTTAATTAGTACAATCTATCTGTTTTATAACATTAGAAATAGCTTTTTAAAAAGGTCCTAGACAGAGCCCGACTAGGCGTATAAATAGAATGGAACAGAACTAAAAGAAATATTAGAATAATATGTTGTACAATACCTGTGGCATGCGGCCGCCAGCCCCCACTTTAACACTAATATTATTACTGATTTGTCGGGCTTCCAATCCAGGTTTTTATATTAGTATAAAGCTGACCCCTCTTTTCCAAGATATATATAAATACTGAAAATCCTTAGGGGGGTTGGAGAACCCTAAGAATTAATCTTATAATTAATAAAAAACTACTTTTTAACTGCTTTTACCTTATCTAATCAATATATCTACTGTATTAAATAGTTTTTAATAATTTTTAATTCTTCTATCTTTAGTTATTTAAAAGAAGTAGTATACCTTTTACTAAATCTTTACTAAAATCTTTTTCTAGTATTTTATCTGCTTCAGAATAAAATTATCCTATACAAGCAGATATTTAAAAAATAAAAGCTACTATTTACCAATTAGAATAGTTAAAGGAATTAAAAAAATCAAGTCTAAATTTTATAAATTAAATAAAAAGATATTAAACCTTTAGTAGAAATAAGTTAATATTATATAAATTATATCTTATCCTAAGAAGAGAAAAAAAAGAAATTAAACTTAAAAAAATCCTTATATTTTTTTTAATTTAGTCTATAATAAAAAACTAAATGGATTTATAACCTATAATATACTATAAAAAGTACTTTTTAAAAATATTAAACTAAAAACTAAAAGATTTTAGCTGTAGTTAGCTATCTAGACTTTACCTATTAGTAAAAATAGTATTAATATATTAATTAAAAATTATTAAAAAACTGCAGAAAAGCTAAAAGAATTATAGGATTATTTTATCTAATAAATCCTCTTTTTATTTAAAATACTATTATTTTACAGTCTAATACTATAAAACAGCTTAAACAGGCCTATTAGCAGAAAGATTAAAACCTAAAAAAATTATAGTTTTATTTAAATACTTTAAAACAATACTTTAAACCAAAATAAAAAAATAAATATATTTTATTTTTTTTCTAAGTTAGTACTGGAGCTTAGTTAATATATATATAAATATATATAAAAATTACTAAAACCTTGAAGAAAAAGTATGTATTACTACTTATTACTGGAATATACTAATCTATAAAAGAAAATAAAAGTTAGATATTTAAAATTATTTAAATAAAGGATTTAAAAAACTAAGATTCTTATAATAAGACTATAAGTCTGCTTTATTAAAATCATATTAAAATCAAAAGAATTATAAAGGGGAAATACTTTATTACTATATATATAATAGTAAGTTTTATTTTTTAAATTATTACTTTTAGAAGAACCAAGATAAAAGTTAAAAAAAACTAATAGAAAAAGAATTTTAGTTAAAAAAAGCTCTATATTTTTAACTGAGTAGCCTAAAGTAGGGACTGTTACTTATTTTACTATATTTATTTTTTTAAAATACTTTTAAAACCTATACAGACCTAGATTTATATACTAAATTTAACTTAATTAGCTACTAATTTATTCTATAGTTCTATTTAACCATAATTTATTTTACAGTTTTATTAATTATTACTATTAATTATTTTATTTTATTTACTTATAAGATATAAAAAACTTTTATTACTGCTACTAATTTAAAAAGGACTATACAGTTTTTTATAAAATCTTATATAAGTATTAACTAAAATTTAGAACTTTTTAAAAGCCCTATTTTACTTTTTATAACTATTTTAAAGGACCTATATATTTATCTATTTATATAAAATTATTAATAATAATATAAAATCTAAATAATAAAAATTTTAATTTTTTATAAATTTAGATAAGCTTGTTAGAATCTTATTTATATCTATACTATAATAAAACTTTCTAAAGATATTTAATTACCTAATAATAAAAATCCTATAAAAGATCTGAAGGAAGCAATTAATAAAATAATAATCTTTTTAAAATTTTATAATCTTTTTAAGA